TGAGTGGAATCTAATATAATATCAACCTCTCAGGAAAAGTTAGATCTAGTAAGCAATAACTGTTCAACTGTCAAAGAAGCCCAAAATAAAGGTCAATTATTACAATTATAATTTCCCCAAAAACTTATCTGAGTTCAGGGCTTTCTCTTTTATCTGTCATAGCCGGGCAGCACATATCTTCTCTTCGCTGAAGAGATGTAATGATGTAAGATGTAAATGCTAAAGATGATACGTAAATCCACTTCTTTTCGAAACCAATTATCATCAACTGGGTCCATTTGTGGAAAGAGGCCTGCTATGATACTTCTGACAGGGTGCAAAAGTTACTGCTGTGCACGACTAACCTTTAACTTTTTTCACAGCACTACATCTAGCATCTTCTATTTCATCGTCTTTCTGCATCAATTCTCTTCGGTGTTCCTTCCTCATTTGTTCTAAACTCATCTCTAACTTTAATTTGGCTTGCTCTAACATTTGTACTTGGCCTGCTAAGTCGTCCAGCTCTTCCTCCTAAAAACAAAAAATTTACCTCATCCGTCAATAGCTGTGGAATTTTATCTCGGCCATTAAAAATTATGAAAAAAGGTTAGCCTTCCCTTTGAAGGAAACATTTCAAAAGTTTTAAAGCAAGTCTATAAAATCTATTTCTTGTTGTAATTTTCTTTCATTTAACAAATTTTAATTCAAAGTATCGTAACTACTACAAGAACTATGGTACAGTTTATCATTACATGTCATTCAATAATTTCAATAATACTCACTTTTTTCTGTTTTGCCCGATTATTGGTGAAAAGGAAAAAAGAGAGAAAAGAAAAAGAAAAAAAGTGAGTATTATCTGATACAACCCGATAAAGGAGGAAAAAGAAACATAACATGTCATTCAAGTTAATTTCTAAATTTTTATTGATTTCCTGTTTCATTTTTTGGTTTTCCAGTCCATAAAGAGGCATTCTGTTCACTTAGCCTTGCGCACTCCCTCCCCATCCCCTCTCAAAAAAAAAAAGAAAACATAAATTACATTTAAGTTTACCATTTTCAAAACTGATAGTAAAACAATTCAATGCGACTGTTTGAAAGTTTAAAATCATCGAATCCTAAAGAATAATCATCAGTCATTCCTAAAAAAGGTAGCTCACAAGAAAGGAAAATATGAGGAAGGATCATAATCTAACCTGGTCTTTGATTTTATTGTCTAGCTGATGTTTAGATTTCTTTAAATTTGCTACTTCTTCTTCCGTGCTTCCATTGAACATTAATTCTTCTAGCTCTCGATTTAAATTGACTAATTTTTGTTCCTTCAGTTCTAGTTCTAGTTTCACAGCCTGCAAAAAAATATGAATTATAAAACATTGAAACAATTTAAATTAATCACAAAGACAACAATAAAAGGAAATCCTGTAAAAGAGAATAAAAGAAATTAATCCTACACATGAAATTTTTTTATAAAAATAAAAATAGTCCTTTTAATTTATTTAAAACTGCTAATTTATCTGTCTACAATGAGCTTTCAGTCAATTTCAGGGCCTAAAAGAAAGGTTTCAGACCAAATTTTCTTTCAATAACACAGAAAAAAACGAGCAACTATTTGCGCTCTATCTTTCCATTACACAGAGCACTATCTTAGACTCTACAGTATTACAAAAACCGATTAGAAAATGTTATGTCCGTGTCTATACAAACAAATAGGGTGCAATGGTTAAATTTTGAAATTACTCAGAGAATAATTTGCTTCCATATTAAATGCAACAAAAGACTCCTTCGGCATGTTTCTTACGAAAGACTTGCTGCAGGTAGCTAACTCACAAAAATATGCATTTCATACAATATGAAATTTTAGCTGAATGCAATATGTAATTATTAACTGCTCACTTTTAGGGTATGATATTTTAAACACAAACACTTGGTCCAGAAATGTTCACATAATAACTGCTCAGTCACATGAGAAAATGAACTGGATGAACTCAGAGGCGGATCCAGCAATTTGGCAAC